TACACTACATGGTTGAGTACATAGTGTATAAGTACATAGTGTATAGTGCGTCATTTGGCTTATATTTTTTTTTGTAAAATAATCGTGATTAATATTTAGCCATTATTGTGCAATCCTGTATTCATTCAGAATATATTAAAAATAAACATCATTCTGTCCTTTTCTCTTGGGTAATCACAGATTTAACATTTAAAATAACACTTGTCCTTGCAGTTGCAAGAATGGCAGTGCCTGAAATGTATGTTGCCATTTTCAGTATTCCTTTAATCAAATGGGTGGCATTTTCTTCTTTTTGGCTGTCAAAATGTTCCCTCACATAATTAACTTACTGTCACCTGTCTTTCTGTTGCAGTTTCGATGTGGAAAATGGGTTGTCAATCGGACGCAGTCCATTGGACCCCAGTCCGAGCTCAGGTCTGGTTCTCCAGGCCAACAGCCAGAGACGCGAGTCTTTCCTTTACCGCTCGGACTCAGATTTCGACCTCTCGCCCAAGTCGATGTCCAGAAACTCCTCGACGGCCAGCGAGCTGTGAGCTTTCAACATGCACTAAAGCAAAATATGTCATAGTGCTTTGTCACTGGACTGGCTCAACGGATTTTCTGATTTCCCACTTAATTATTATTTCCATCTTTCAGCATGTAGCTCTTGAGAGCAGTACATTTATTTATACCTTTATGAAAACTAAAACGTCACATTTAAATTCATCAGTGATTAATTGAAGGAAATGATTTAGTCTGCGATTGGAGGAAAAGGGGTTAAAACGTAAGAGGGATTTGGCAACCAAAGTGGAAAGTTTTTTCAGCATCAGAGAGAAATATTACATATGTACCAGTCAATAATTTACAATGAGAAAATTAATTACATTTTGCTATCTTGCTAAATTAGTAATTTGATCATGATTGTTGACTTCTCTTTTGCAGTCATGGGGAGGACATGATTGTAACGCCATTTGCTCAGGTCAGTTAGTTATTAATTTGGTAAATCTTAAATATTACCCCTTAAATGATAAAGTAATTATTGTGTTAAATGAGCAAATCATTGAATAGACATCTACACTGCTATTAGAATTGCATAGATAATGTTATGAGGTTAATGGGTTTTAAATGGGAATTAATGGGTTGTAAAAAAAAATACATAAATAAATAAATATTGACATATGAAATATTGAATTTGTTCAAACTGCTGATTGATTCAGAAATAAAGCAAGTGAGTGTCTTTATGAAAAATAAAGTGTTGCTTGAAAAGACACAACAGTTCAGCTCTGGCTTTGTTTGGAACTTGAAAAAACTGAATATTGTGCCTAAAATTGAACACAGTATTAACTGTCTTTATTGAACTGTTGCATAAAATCAAAATCAGGAAATTCAGGAAAAACAGCACTCTTGCTTGTATGGTATTGCTAAACTATATCATACAATATAAATATAAAACAAAAACCCATCCAGTGTAAGATGACGTACAGGTCCGGGCAGCAAGATTAAATCTGTTAATAATTTAAACATGTTATTTCTTCAATAATTCATCGCAGCCAAATTAATGCACTAAATCTGTAGACCTAATATATATGTAAAAGCTTTTATATTTGCACTTTCAAAGAGTTCACATAATTGTGCAAGGTACTGTGCACATTGATTTATAATAAGATCTGTGTAAGAATGTGTTCTGTATGTGTGTGTGTGTGTGTGTTTGTACTGTAGGTTCTTGCCAGTCTGCGAACAGTGAGGGGTAACGTTGCAGCTTTAACCCACGTGCAAGATAGAAGCAACAAGTGAGTCTGTAGCCGAAACACTTTCAGACAGGCAGTGAATGGAAGGATTAATAAGAGAAAGATTTATAACTGTTGTCACATGAAGTCTCTTAAATCGTTTTCCTTCATA